AAGATAGTTAGTTGTGTTGATCTGAAGTCAGACAGAAGGCAGAGCAGGGCAGGGTGGCACATTATAAACTAATTCAGAGAGGCATGAGCTTTTGCAGGCTACAGCCTGCTTCATCAGGTGCTACAAATGAATTTTGCAAAGAGCAGGGAATACTAAATAGAAAGGAATATGGCCAGAGTTACTCATACTGTTCCCAGCCCTCACCCATCCCACTTCCTGTTGATGACGGAAGACTTGTATGGTATATTGGTCTATAGCAGTGATTCTCAAACTTTTTTTTTCATTTGCAAATCCCTAAAATTTCAAATGGAGGCACAGACCTCTTTGGAAATTTTGAATGGAGGTGTAGAACCATTTGAATTATAGTGTGGGTATTCACATACTTTTGATTGATCAGTCATCTTTCATGGACCTCTTAGACATAGCCTGGGGACCCCAGGGTTTGCAGACCACAAATTGAAAACCACTGGTTGATGGTATATAATGAAACTTATTTGTTACCTTTCTGGTAGGAGCTGAGGTCAAGGTGGGAAAGGATATAGCCTTATAGCCTGTTGTTAAACCTCAGGGTTTTTCCACACTGGGCCACTCAAAATAAATCTGAATTAACTTCTAAAATGGTTTAGTTTAATTGGCTTCAAACTCAGTGTAGACATTCCTGTTCAGAATTAAAATGGCTTTAATTTGCTTTAGCTTAGTTCATTTCCAGCATGTATTAAACAAAGGCCACTTTAATGTTGAATGAGTGCCTGCAAAATGGTTTAGTGCAGTTTAATGAATCCCATTTAAATTGACATTTGTAGTAATTGAGATCAACTTTTCTGTGCCCTTGTGTAGACAATCACTCTAAACTAAAGGAACAGAGAGACTACACTAGAAGGATATTGGTACTGGCTTTCTCCTTTGCTCAGGGCCCAGGGATTCTTCCTGGTAGTCCAGTGTGGAGGATAGTATACATGGCCCAAACCAAGCCTCTGGATAACTAAGCCTCCAAATTCTGGGAAAATCCCAATCTGTAGGTAGAATTGGATTGAGGTGCCACACTGGATGGCAGAAATTCCAGTTCTAGTAGGACAGGAGCTGCTGCAAACACAGACCACTCTGAAACCCTTTAGTGCCTGAGGATATCCAATCTTTAGCTTTTGAAAAAAGCCTTTCTGTCCCTTGTCACATACAGTACCTGGATGGCTCAGCAATAAAGTTTTCCTAGTTTTGCTGGAGGATAAAGGTGTCCAGTAGAGAACCCTATCTATCTCTGGGCTTCCAGACTCTGGCAGCCTGGAGGAGAGTCTGGGCCTTGCAGGTATCCATGTGGGGGAAAGGCATAGAACTAAGGAATGGATTGTCCTTATGTCAGGAGGATTGAGAGAACCTACAGAACCACTTCTGTCCTGGGGGGCTGTCAATGGCTGTCTCAGAGGAAAGCATTTTGATTTCTCAGGGGTTCAAGTTACTGCTACAGACTCCTTCTGCACAAAACACCTTGTTCCTCTGCTAAATTGGCATGGAAAGTGGAGCAGACAGAAGACTGGCATGCTGTCCCATCCCTAGTGAAAAGAAGTCTCTGGCAACTGCCCTCTCGGACATGGTGACATTTTCCTTGTCTATGATCTTGAGCTCAGTTTTAGGGATGCTCCTTTCCTTCATATTCAGAACTCTTAGTAGAGGTGGTATCTCTTATTAGACCAACTAAATAGTTGCACAAAAAAAAAAAATCTTTATTTGCAAGTTTTCGGGTGCTCTCGCCCTTCCTCAAGCAAAGGAGAATACAGTTTGTAACATTTTTCCCAGGTAGAAAGAAACTTCATATTGCATCGTATTAAATAGATGTTATAGGTTCCCCTGAGTAGAACAGTTTATTTTATGCAAATAAGTTCAAATAAAAGGCAGAGTAGTCTGTTTACCTCCAAAGTATCTGATGGCAAGCAGGGTGTTGCTTTTTTTTTTTTTTTTTTTTCTTCCTTCTTGGTGAGATGTTTTCTACTGCACAGGGGAGAGGGTGATGGATGTATATCCTGGCTGAAGCAGTTCTATTGAGTGGAGCTTATTTTCCAGGTATGCAAATTCAGCTCAAACAAAAGGCTGGAGCAAGAGTGGGATTCTCCAGGTCTCTGGGTGTTGGATTTTTGCTTCTTTTTTTGTAAAAAGTATGAAGTTTTTATTTCAAAGCGGCTAATTGCAATATCTTGCATGTTTTAGGGATACAGGTTTTAGCCGTGTTGATCTACAGGCAAAAATATTCAGAACTCTTGGTAGAGGTGATTATTTTTTATTAGACCAACTAAATAGTTGCAAAAGGGGGAACCTATGACATCTTTCTATTCTCCTGCGCAATGCGAAGTTTCATTTCTACCTGGGAGAAATGTTACAATCTGTGCATTCTCTTTTGCCTGAGGAAGGGTGCATGAGCCTGAAAGCTTGCAATAAAGAATTTTTTTTGCAACTATTTAGTTGGTTTAATAAAATATATCACCTCTACCAAGAGTTCTGAATATTTTTGCCTGTACACCAACACGATTAAAACCTGTATCACTTTCCTTCATGGAGTTCACACATGGTTTTTCCAAATTGCCACTGGGCGGTGCTGTTACACTGGCTACTGTGGAGTAAAGTTTCTGAGCTGTAGATGTCCCTTCAGTGACAGAGCAGCTCTGAGGTGGGCACAATAAGAAAAGTAATGAATTGCTCATGCATATGTGTATTCCAATCCTTCCAGAACAGCTTCAGTGTAAAAGGGAGAAGGATTGGGGGAGAGGAGGGGGAGGATTTCAATAGGGTGGTGACACATGGGACAGGGCAATGAAACAACAGTGACCATTGGCAAAAGTGCTTAAGTCCATCTTTCTGCCCACCCACCCCCACCCCCAGTGTGACTTTGGAGCACCAGCCTCTTGCCTTTCAGTGAGATTTAGGCACCTAAATATCTAAGGGCCTTGCTACATAGTAAATTCAGGCAGCTTCTGGAGCTCTTAACCCCTGGACTGGCTGCACATTAACACCTTTTAAGTGGTTTAAAGCACTCGTTATTCATCTTAGTTATGCCACTGCAGGGCAGGACTATCTCCAATCTGCCTGATTTTGTTTCTTTTCCATTACCCTGTGGTTACTTCCCACAGCTATTCCACCCAAGCCAAAGTCCTCCAGTAGCCCAGAATGCAGTGGCCCCTCCTGACTCAGGGCGAGCGGCGATGTCGGGGCACAGCAGGGCTGGGCATGGTGCTTCACCCTCATGGGGACGTCAGGCAGAGTGAGTGCCAGTGCTCCCACCACCACCCAGATTGGCTCTGCTCCTGCCAGCAGTGGCATGGAGGGTAGGCGCTGCCTGAGCGCTGGAGAGAAAGGGATCAGATCCCTCAAAGCTCAGGAAGTGCCCTTTAAGCTCATGGAGGTCACTGCAGTGAGCAGCAAGCAAAATAATTGCTGTTATTAACTCTGGCTGTTGCTATGGAGGAAAGAATTAAACCAAGCAGAGCTTAGCCGAGCACTAGCAGATACTTCAGTTCCAGTCACTCCAGTGGCTCCTCCTCTGGGGAGTGCTTTTGGCTTTTGTGAAAGTGCTCTTTTGGTGGAGCATTTTTCCAGGTAAGTTAGGGTCAAAGTGTACCAGTCCCCAAATGAATAGTGAGGCCTGCTTTTAGTGTACCTGAGATAATTGGAACGGTTTATAGATGGGCCAAAGGATTTTTGCCTCGGGGTAGTTGAAGCCCATCTAGTTTCTTAGGAGGGTTAAAGACTAACCTTGGAGACTCATCCAGATATCTGGTTTCTTATAGATAACCTAAAGAGTTGATGAATGCCCGAGTGACTGATCTTATCAAAATGCTATGAAACTCAAGACAGTCTTTAAATTCACTTACTTAATTGAAGTCATTCAAGGAGCAGCCTTGAGTAAAGCAATCACCGAATACTGTATCTTCTCACATACAGCACACACTTCCCCCCTCAAAATAGCCCCCCAAAATTGGGTCACATGTCTTAAGCAGGGAAGTTGGTTTTTCTGCCCAGAATAGAAGCCCTCCCCTACCCCCTGCTTTGATTCCTTCTCCAAAACCACCTGCCCAGCTGAGGGAGTCAGTTGACTTAATGGCTCATTGTTCCTGACTCCACAGGTGTTAATTATAATCTCTCCTTTTTAATGGTCTTGATGTTCCACTAATGACACTAACCTTTCCTCTGACAATTTTGCTGTCTGCTTGCTGCTACTTCTGTCTCTCCTATTTCACAGGCTTGCAGACTTTTTAGCTCTGTCCTTGCTTTGTGCAGCCATAACTCTGAAAATATCCTTTTTATTTTTTTCTTCTTCATTCTCCCTTTTCAAAAACAAGGTGCAAATATTGTTTCAGGGTGTGTTCAATGAGAGAACTACAGCATTATGAATGTAAAATCCTACATTAAAATTGACTGTTTCATTCTGGCGTTTAATAGAGAAGGTTGCTATTTTACAATTAAAATAGCATTTAAACATTGCATTAATTTATTGCAAGAAAAAAAATTAAATGCAATTCCTTCAGACTGCACTGTGAACTGCATCCTACCAGTAATTACTGAATTATTAGTGATGTTATCAAAAAACAAAGTAGAAACCACTTTCCTGTTTAATACTATGTTTATGACATTCCTTTGGCTTCACATCTTCATGGTTGGTTATTGCATATTCATATAGTAAGGATGATGCCTCACTATACTACA